ACATTTTGGACAATTTCATGCTCCCAACTTTGTGGGAACAGTTTTGGGATGGTCCCTTCCTGTTCCAACATGACTGCGCACCAGTGCACAAGGCAAGGTCCATAAAGACATGGATGAGTGAGTTTTTGGTTGAGGATCTTGACTGGCCTGCACAATCCAGACCTCAACCCAATGGAACACATTTGGGATGAATTCGAGCAGAGACTCTGACATCAGTGCCTGACTCCACAAATGCGCTTTTGGAAGAGCTTCTGCGCTTTTTGTTAAAGGGGACTTTTTTTGTTGGTGGGCAGAAAAGCAAAACATGGTAAAAACACGCCAAAATCTTGACAAAAATGTCAAAAATGCACTACATGCGTTTCAGCAGCTTCTCCGTTGAATTCTATCGTAGCAAAAACACTGCTTTTTGAGTTTAAAAAAAAAAAAAGTCACCCTTTCCAAAACGCAACATGTCCCATAGGAAACCATGTTAAATGGACTGTACTGCATTCCTGCAAAAAGCACTAAAAACGCATTGGTGTGAACCAGGCCGAAGGCTGCAGTATTTTAGAGAGGTAAAAAAATGTTCCCTGCTCTATCATTTTGTTCACACAAATTTTTATGTTTGGCAGAGATGGTAAAATGTAGGACACTTAAAAATTCACAACAGGAATGTAATCTACATACTATATTCATGTTCCCATAATTTCCAAAGGTATCCCTGGCACAGGCATATGTCATGTTTATTGTGATTTTTAACTCCTTCCCCTTTTTATCCTTTAAAAAGTTTTGAACATCCATGGGGCGGGAAGGATCAGCAAACGTGTGACCACTGTGATTGACTGTCAAAATGGACTCATAATTGGCAGCTGTTTCCTCCGGTTCCAGGTAGTCTGGAACGAGACCTGTTTTTGACAGCTTGGTCTTAGTGCTGGGAGCAGGCAGCAAGCACACTCAACACAGATGTGCAACGTGTTGGCATTGAAGTCCACCCTTTTGTGGCCACTGCACATGTATGTTACGTGGGTGGAAATAGGTTAATGTGCCAAGTTTTAATAGCACTTGTCTCTTATGCTGGCCATGCAACAAAAGATTAATTCCATTCAGCATGTGGGCTGAATGAAAGAAATCTGACATATTCCTCAATGCATGCTAAACAGACCAGATGCTGTAGATGGATTTCCCACTGTGGCTATTGTATTATTACTGTCAGTAATCAAAATACCCCAACAGAGGGCATTTGATTGATGGATGTTGACCAAAATGGTGCCAACAGCTCCACCCACTGATCAGATTTTGTCCAGTTCATTAGGAAAAGGTAAAATTCACTCAGTGTATTTTATTTATTTCTTACATGTACTTATATAGCATCCTCAGTTTACACAGTGTTTTACATATATATTGTACATTCACATCAGTCCCTGCCCTCAAGGAGCTTACAATCTAAGATCCCTAACTCACATACATACACATACTGGGGCCAATATAGACAGGAGCCAATTAACCTACTAGCATGTCTTTGGAGTGTTGGTGGAAACTCATGCAAGCACAGGGAGAACATGCAAACTGCAGGTAGATAGTTCCATGGTTGGGATTTGGGCGGAAGTGCTAACCACTTAGCCGCAGTGCTTCCTAGGTGTATAGCCAATTTTAATGCATTTGCATTTTGTATGTCGGTGATCCTAAAAAATGTCACTTGCTGGTGTCCCTTCATCATCTTTTGTTTTTTGGATCTGCATTGCTGTATGATAAAGTCCAAGAGCTGAGCCACTTGCATTTGAATGACACTGAGTGGTAGTGGGGTTTGGTCTTTCTAAAGGGAAAAATGTAATTGATCTTCTGTTGTATTGGCATGGCTGCCTTAGCTTGTTATACTTTCTATTCAGTTAAAGGCTGCTGTAAATATTAGAAGGCACTACTAAAAATCTATATATCATGCAGCTCAATGTGATCCTGCCGTAAGACTGGAAGTCAGCAGCATGTGTATCAGCCAGTGTTGTGGGCCTGGCACACAAAGGGTTAAAGGAAGGCTCTGTCTGCGAACAAGAAATCCCTTTTTACTGAAAGGATAATCAGACTATTATTATATCTGCATGGCTGAACAAACATCATTTAGGGTTGACAAGGCATTTCATTAAAATGTGGATTTTCACACGCTTCTAGCTCGGGATACACAGTTTGGACTGGACCCAGGAAATTATTTTTTTTTTTAAATATCTACAATTTCTTTTTTTCTTTTCCTTTTAAGAAACAGCAGCCACTGACATTGTGTGCTCTTACGCTGCTGTAGTATTTCATTAAACATTCTTTATTATTTTTGGCATGAATAGAGAGTCATCAGACCTTTGCGCTGCAGCTTTATTGTGCTAAAACCCTTAATTGTGTGCTCAGTGTACATATGTCATCCTGGGTGACACAAAGTAGGTGGCTATGTTGTATTGTCAAGTCTTTTGTCTTTAGAGTTTTTTTGGCTGCACGGGTTACATTTTACTTCCTTGCACTGATTGGAGTTTGTCCATAGTCTTTGGCAGGTAATAGTATTCCAAAGTAAATCTAAATCCAAAACTGTTTTTCATTGAGTAAGTGATTGTTAATGTATAACTAATGGAACATATTTTTTTTAATGGAGTAGAAAGGGTTTAGAACCCCTGCCAGGTTTTAATCATGTCTGTGTCCCTGTTCGGAAGATTAGTAATAAAAATCCCAAATTTTGGATTGTCACCAGAACAGGAATAGAGGAGAAATTGTCGAATGATGACACTAGTTCTGGTGACACCCAGGAATTCCCTCACTTTGGAGGAAAGTCCTCTTACTTCCTGTTGTGGCTATGGGCAGGACATGATGGGAAATCTCCAGAATGGGACACAGATGGCAAAGGGGGGCATGAGGGCTATAACCCTTCCTTATTCTATCCAAAATAAACAATAAAAGTTTTGCCTATAGTTCTAGTTTAAAACTCAGAATTTTTTGTCCTTTTCACTTCACTTCCATTCCCACTTATACAGTTGTCAATGGAACGAGTGTTCCTGTTGGAAGATTTCCCTGTTATTCTTTTTCTGGTTACAGCTCCAAACGTTTGATTATCCCTAATTCCAGTCCTGATGACAGTGGTCACTAGGAGATATAGAGAGCGTATATCTTCCTAATGGAGTCACAGAAAGCAATGAAAACCTAGCAGAGGTACTAAGCCCTTACCAATCTATCCATAACTAAAAAAAAAAAAAATAATTTGGCTTTATATAAACTTTATGTTTCTGAGTGATGCTGGTGTGCCTATTCACCCAGTGGGCTCATATATAGGTAACAGCATTCTTGGCATCTGAGTTTCCAGCTCCACTTACCTGTTGTGGCACTATATGACTCATTTTCTTGATAACTTTCTTATTTTAATTTTCTATTACAATGAAAGCAGCCGGCGGAGTATAATTCCTAGATGGCACAAGGCAGCGCCAGCAGATCTGACATGTCTTCACCCAAAAAGCTGATTTTCAGCAGGCAAAAATCCAACAGGTGGTCATCTATACCTGAAATATAGATGTCTGCCCCCTAAAAAGTCACAGCCAGGACTGTTTATACTACATAGGCTGAATGGACATACAGTGAAAAGTGTTGGCCTGTGGATTTTGTACTGTATAGGATTATAAAAATCTGTGGATGGTGATCCAAAATGATTATGATGCCAATCTGCTAGAAGGGCCTTCAATTACCTATTTTATTACAGGGTTTTCAAAATGTGCAGCACCTTATAATGTACACAGGACTATTAAGAGCAGTCTCGTACCTGAAGAAGCCCTGCCACAATATCCTATATAGTGTAAAAACCAGAGGAGAACCTATAAACTCCATGGAGATGTAGTTGTTCCTGGTTGGTAGCCCAACAGCTTATTACTGCATGGCCACAGGGCTAAACTCTAAGCCACTGGCCTTCTCCAATGAATCCAACCAGATAGTGTGTTAGTGGTAGGATACTTGGGCAGCACAGGGGCTAACTAGTTAGCACTTCCGCCTGGCAGTACTAGGGTCGTTGGTTCGAATCCCAATTACGGAACCACCTGCCTGGAGTTTGCATGTTCTCCCTGTGCCTGTGTCCAGGTACTCCGAAGACATGCTGGTAGGTGAACTGACTCCTGTCTAAATTGGCCCTTGTGTGTGTATGTATGAATGTGAGTTAGGGACCTTAGATTGTACGCTCCTTGAGGGTTAGGGACTGATGTGAATGTACAATATATATGTAAAGCGCTGTGTAAACTGATGGCGCTATATAAGTACCTGAAATAAATAAATAAATAATACTTAAAGCAGAATGTTACCCGTAACAACTTGATAAATAATAATGTTATTTAGCAAGGAGCATACATTTCACATAAATAATTATACTACCAAAATGAGTGTGTGCTGTAAACTGCACCAGCATTGCTCCTGTTTCTTCTATGCTTAAGGCTGCCATTGCTGAAGCCCAGAGCCCCTGAGCAGCAGTAAATATTAAGGCGATCAGCATCTATATTTTTCGCACAGCGCTGAAAAATAGAGAGCAACTGAGCTTGTGCAGATCAGGGTGAGACAATGGTTTACTGGATTTTAAACAGTATAGGCACTTACTTTTAATATTTTACATAGCTATGTCTGCAAAAGGAGCCAGCCTGAAGGGATCTAGAAGGACTTAGTTTTCTGATTAAGTTCCACTTTAAATGAAGCTGCCATAAAATTGTTGTTCATGAGCAAAACTTTGACTACAGCAAAATGATTTGGAAAGTCACCAATAATAATTTTAACTATAGCCCATAAAAACAGGGGTACATTTTTTAAAAGGATGAAAAGTATCTCTGGTCTATTATTGGGTGTATCTTGATTTTCTAATGCAACGCAGAAAAATAACATTTGGAATCTAATTCATTGTTTTGAGAAGCAAATACATTTTTTGTTCCTCATATTTTTATGTTTTATATTTTTTGAATGAAAGCGTATACTGTAGTACTGAGAACCATACTGTTCTACTAAGAAGGCACTTATTTAAAGTGTTACTAAACCCACAACAGTAAAATCAGTCTGTATATGCAGTAAAGCATGGTTGGTTTACTCACTGTGGAACCTAAGGGGTTAATCATCTGCATCATGTAAAAAGGCTGTTTGTTTCTGACTTCTCTGCCCCTCCTCTTGTTGAAATGACCACCTGATACAGACTGAATCCATAGTCACATGCACATGCTCACTTTAGTGTGTATTGCTAGAGAGTTTTTTTTTTCTTGGGAGAGTGCATGTGATCAGCACAGGGCCAATCAGCACTGTCCAGACAGAGGGTCAGGACTTTCACATCCTCCTAGAGCAGAAAGAAAACTCCTCCCGCATGCTTTAACCAGTGCTCTGCTGAAGTCACAAGACTGCTCTAACTGCTGATGAGAAAAGGTATTTAGCAGTTTATAGAGCAGAAAGGTGCTCTAACTGAACTAATGAGAAAAGGCATTTAGCAGTGATGTATTTCCTAAAATACGTGCATTTCCATGTTGTGTGTACTGTGGGAAGCCAGATATAGTGAATGCAGGATCTTGGGTTTAGTATCACTTTAACATTCTTTGTATACATATGTACATTTTACCTCCAGACTAAAATCTGCTGCAGTGCAACTGATATGTTTTACTTCTATACCAGATAATATATGATCACATTTTTACAGTTCTCTGAAAGAGCTTACCAGTAAATTACAAGCTACTTCACTTTGTCCAGGCCCACAATTACAGATGTTGTTATTATTTTATATATAGTTTTGTTCTACATAAAAAAATTGCAGTGATGGATATACTAAAATGCACAGAGATGAGAAAAGATATTTTCTAAGGAAGCCTAGCCCCAAGTTACAAACTTGGGTGTAGCTATTCTTCAACGTCCTCGGCAGTAAAGGGATTATCCATATTCCCAGCTGCGTTTCCATCTTTTTAGGGTGCTTTGTTAAAAGGCATTAATGGGATTGGCCAGTTCAAGCAGAAATCACTAGGAGCAGAGGATGAGCTGTCATGGATGACAGGCCAGCTATCTTGCCATCAGTCTGCCTGTGCATTCACAGTTCACCTGCAGGCATGTACGTTCGCTTGTGTGCCTGTCGGAGCCTGCCCGTGCTTCTTCTTTAACTATCCCTTTTGTGTATGTGTCTGCTCATACATGTTGCTTTTTACTCTTTATTGTCTACAGCCAAAGGCTGGTTTTGTTCCTCTCCTTCCATAACCTCAAAAAGCCCCCCTTCCCCCCTTCTCCTATCCGGAGGATTAGGGATTCTAGCAAAGGCATGCAGAGTGCAGCACCTGAGCCAGGTGGAGGGGAAACAGACAGGCAAGGTGGGTGTTCAATACAACTAAAACTATCTTCTTTGTTCCTTTTTTGGTATATTATAGTAATCATACAGTGTTTTCATGGCGTTTTTTGATGTGAGAGTGCATACACAGATAAAAAACCTGAAACCAGTACTAATACTTGATTCATCAGTTTTTTCAACCTATATAAAAGTTTGGAAAGTCCCTCATTCTAGCAAAAGATAATAAAAACATTTTAATAGCACATCTGCCTGTACTCTTCAGCTATAGACAAGTGGCTTCATTATAGACAAAAAATGTTTCCTAAAAAAAGCATGAGTTTTTAAACAATTGGTTGAGGAGCAAGACATAAAATATTCACATCCCGAAAATTTGTGCTCTTTCTAAACAGCACTTCGCAGAAATGTTTGCCAGTACCATGAAGTTCCTCTGTTTACCTTTGTGTGGGCATACCAATTATACTAACCTTTCTTTGCCCTTTTACCATCGAGGAGGTCTTCAAATTGTTTTCAGCTCTCAGGGAATCGCAACTAAAAACAATAAAACTTATAGCTCATAGTACATTAACATGATCAGTAGGTTGTACTTAGCTTTAAATAGAAAAATCAAGAATAGGAATTTCTTAATAATTATAAAATCAAATGAATTATAATAATGCACAGAAAACTAACACAATAGAAATTGTAGTACCCCTTTATGTTGGTGGTAAGTGCAGGCAGGAGATCAGTAACAGCTATCTAATGCCCCAGCAGTAACTTCTCGATCAGGGGTGTCCAACCTTTTGACTTTGCTGGGCCACCTTGGAAGAAGAATTGTCTTGGGCAACACATAAAATACACTAACAATAAGAATAGATAATGAGCAGCAAAAGACGGGCAGATCACAAGTTAACGATTACCAATATAGGTAATGTACCTACCTGAGTAATAAAAATTAATTTGTAATATTTTTTTTTTATAAAAGTAAAATAGGGCAACATTAATCTAGTGTGAAATTTGAAACTGTTTTTGACAAATTAGCACATCAATATCTGGTTAGATGGGTGTAGTAGCAATTCTTAATGGATTCTCAAGGTGCTCATTGGATATTTTAGTTCTAATGTTGCCCTTTGTGTGCTTTATCCTTTAACCACATGCCGCCCAGCCACTGTATAAATACGGCGGCAGGGCGGCACGGCTGGGCAAAAGCACGTTTGAAAACGTGTGTTTTGAAAACAGCTAGGGGGCCGCCCTACCTGTCCCGCCGATCACAGCCGCGGATGTCAATCGCCGGGTCACAGCCGGTCATTACTGGCTATGTCCCGGCGATCGGCGGCAATCGCTGACAGAGAGCACAGCTGCAGTAGCTGTGCTTCTGTCAGTTCCCTGACAGCTCCAGGACACACTGATCGGGACAGAAGAGTTTCTCCCTGCAGTACACACTCCCACCCCCTAGTAAAACACTCCCCTCACACAGTTAACCCTTTCCCTGAATAATAAACTTAACCCCTTCATCCCCAGTGCTATTAGTACACTGTCAGTGTTTTTTTTTTTGCACTGATCACTGTATTGGTGTCACTGGGGATGTTAGTGAACCCAAGTCAGTACCCCCCAATGTCAGAATGTCCACCGCAGTCCTGCAGTCCCGCCATAAGTTGCTGATCGCCGCCATAAGTCACTGATCGCCGCCATAAGTCGCTGATCGCCGCCATTATTAGTATAAAAATAACCTAAAAATCCAGTATTTTTCCCACCATTTGTAGACACTATAACTTTCACGTAAACCAATTAATTTACACGTATTGGGTTTTTTTTTTAGCAAAGACATGTTACAGAATGCATTTTGGCAGAAATTTATGACTAAATTTGATTTTTAAATTTTTTTTTTTCCTCAAAATTGTCAGCCTTTTTTTTTATAGCGCAAAAAAAAAAACACAGGCTATCAAATACCACCAAAAGAAAGCTCAATTTGTGGGGAAAAAAAAAGGATGTAAATTTCATTTATGTACCGTATTGCATGATCGCGCAATTGTCCGTTAAACTAGAATGGCGTTAATTGCAGTATCTATACCATAGTTTGTAGACGCTATAACTTTCACACAAAGCAATCAATATACACTTATTGGGATTTTTTTTTACCAAAAACATGTAGCAGAATACATTTTGGTCTAAATTTATAACCAACTTTGAGTTTACTATATATTTTTTATAGCTGAAAGTAAAAAATATAGTTTTTCTTCAAAATTTTTGGCCTTTTTTTTGTTTTATATCGTGAAAAATAAAAAGCGCACAGGTGATCAAATACCACCAAAAGAAAGCTCTATTTGTGTGAAAAAAAGGACGTAAATTTAGTTTGGATGCAGCATTGCATGACCGCGCAATTATCAGTTGAATTAGTGCAGCGCCGAGTAGCAAAAAGAGGCCTGGTCATTAAAGGGGGTAAATCCTCTGGAGGTCAAGTGGTTAAAAATTGTTAATATAGGTGCTGCCAAAAACTGATGACATGAATAAGGCGTGATTTTGAAGAGTGGGATATTTTTCTTTTTAAAAGTCCAGTAAAAAGACACTGTCAAATTTTTCCTCGGCTGCTTGTGTTTGCTAACTGTAAATGCAGTTTTACAAAAAACTCCCCCCCCCCAAAACAAAATCAACATTCTTAAGTAAAATTCTGATTTTGTGTGGGCCACATTCAAGGCAGTCTAGGGCCGCTTGTGGCTCGTGGGCCATGGGATGGACACCACAGCTCTAGATGAACCTCGGGGTTCCATAGAACCTTGGTGGAGGAAGGCTGCATTAATAAAGAGTGAGGATAGTTGTAGAATCAGAAGGAGCAACTAAGAGAAGAAACTATAGAAGGCATTTTAGGTGAAATGTGCTGTTCTGTATATAGGAAACCATGTGATCCAGTTTATTGGATTATTTGGTGTATCACATCGAAGTTCTTTGCTTTAGCTAACATAGACACTTGTGAGTTTTGTTGCAATTTTCTGTAAGAAATCCTGATTGCTGGGTCTTTGGTAAAGTTTGAAGGAAAAATTACCATCATAAGAGCAATTAGTAATACATATAAACATATGCAAAACCCTTCAAAAAATGCTATGCATGAAATTCCACACCCTGGGGTTGTATCTATAGACTATCTGCCTAGATTTAATCTGCACATAAGCCTTAGCTTGTTATATATAATGTTGCAAAGTGTTCCTGATGTCTAGAAACATATCCCATCTTTAGTGGATATGTGCCTGGAAACATCTCAGATATGGAGTTTTACATTAATTTTTGTCATCATTATTACTCATAATGGTCATTGGTGTGTAAGGCAGTAAGAAAGTCTTCCATTTCTGCCTGTCCTTGGCTTAGTTTTGACTGTGCTTCATATTTGGCTAAAATGTGTTCCAGATAGGGCTTGCCTTGTCAGGTAGACCAAAATGTTGCATTGATCGAAAAAAAAAAAAACGCAATCAGTTCCTATGTTCCTGACTTTCAAATCCTCTCCTGGCAGGTGCAGCAATAAAGGTCAGAGGACCTTAAACATTTTGCATGCCTAGACATTGCTGATAACATCCAGCCACCTTCAAGTGAATGTTTAGTTTGGCTCTGATTAGTAATGGGCTTCTTAATATATTCTGTTGGGGCATTAGAGGCAAAGCAATATATGTATTTTCTGCAGGAATGCAGGTTCTTGAAGGTAGAGCTTGCAGAAATGTCTGCATAAAGTATTTGTGTGTAGACATGTACAATTCTTCCAATGAGCTTACATGCATAAAATCTGCAGTTATGTAATGCTTTGGACACAGCTGTGTCCTACATTTCTGTACAATGCTAAGCACAGTGTACAGTTTTGTTTGTAGACACAGCTGTGTGAATGGCCCCACTGATTCCTAAAGTGCTGTGTTTAGATGCATACATCTATATGCATCTAAAATGGTGTTTTAGATGCCCATGTGAGTGAGACCTATTACACCTGTGTGAACAAAAAGCCTTCTGTCATTGAGCAAGAGGGAAGGAGAGGTGGACAGGGTGGCTGCACACAACTCTTCAGCTTCTGCGTCTGAGACCTGAAGATCTACCATTGGAGCACCAGACGTATAGCAATGACTATATTCCCTACATTCAGTAAAAATGTAAATATATTAATAAAAAAGTCCACAAGGTGGCTTATACCTTGTTCAACTTAACCCCTAAAAAGCCAGATGGGTTTTTTTAATAGCTGCATTTCCTGGAGATCTTCCTTAATATAATTACCATACCTGTA